ATATAAAGACTGACTCATTAACTGTACATTTAATATCAGTGAACCTGCAGCTTACTGAACAAAGCAGGTGAGCAAACATTGTTTTGACACTGTCCTCTACTATGACAAAAGGCAAACGGACAGCTAAACATCGTCCTGTCATCTGTTATGCATTAACAGCGTTTGAAAGGGAGAAACAGATCTCTCATTTCAGAAGAAAACATATAAAACCCATACGACTAGGGGTGGATGGTATGACCAAAACCTTCACGGTACAAGTAATTTTATATCATAGTAATGGTAGATAATCACAATATAGTTATTTTTGCATCATTCAACAAAAATTTAACCAAGAAATATTTTATGTATTACTTACATAGTCATCAGTAAGGCCTGTTTTGATTCATTTGATGATAATCCAGTAAACTAAATACTTAAGGCTGGTTTAGTCACTTTTTGGTGACTAAATTTTATAACCAAACCAAACCAGTTGACATATTTCTACCAATGCACGGAATGAAGTATCAAACCACTAATATGACCATAAAAACTAATTCAAAAAGTATTTGTAACGTCCATATTTTTACGTTAGAGATGTACTGACAGACTTGAGTGTGTTTACCTGAGGTTGAGGGGTCGGAGTGATATTCCCTCATCACATCCAGAGAGTACAGGTGAGGGATGGGCTGGAAGGGGTTGAGGGCGACCAGCGTGCAGCCAGCATGTGTGTAGAAAACCTTTGCGCTGTACCTGGCCTGCAGACATTTCAGCACTGCCAAACACAAAACTGCACAGCTGTAATTGACTGACACATTAACTTACAATAAGACATACAGGACTGGTATGGAAGCTTGTTTCTGCCACAGGATAAAAATATAAAAGAGGTAATTGTGACTTATCTCGCAATTCTGAGAGATATTAACTCATGATTCTGAAGGGAAAAAAGTCTGAATTGCAAGATGTTAACTCGCAATTGTGATAAGAAAGTCAGGATTGTGAAACAAAAAGTTGCATTTTTGATGTGATATGAAGGTCAATATTATGAATCAGAATTCAAGCTCCAGTCTAGAATTTCACATGCTAAAATCAGGCATCAAATTATTGTAATGTGGAAGAATATCATATTATCTGAATTGGGGAAGAAAAAAAATCTTGACATTATTTACTTTCAATAAACATCATAAGGCCAATGCTGATAAATGATCAATATAATTACTGACATAAATCACACAAGCCTGTCCCCAAGTGCTTTTGCACACTGCACCTGTAGAAGGCGTAACCGGGTTGACTTTAGTGAGGTCATCGTATGTGTGAAGTTCTGCTTCATTGATGAGGAAGTCTCTGATGTCCTCTTCCAGTGAATCAATGAAAGATTTCCTGAGGTCCTGGGCTCTGTCTTTCAGTCCATTTACCTGCATGATGCAATTAATAAAGACCATGCTATCATAAAGAATAGGTCCCTTTCAGTGGCAGCAGAACTATGACTAAACTTTTGGGTGAAACTTGTTTACTTTTTTTCATACTTTTATTACTTGTGGAAAAACTTGAAACAATTTTAAATAAGTATAAAGAATGGCATTGGTTTTGTACATTTAATTTTTGTTTAACGTTATTAATAAAAATGTTGTTCAATTAGCATGTTTTTGTGTTTTGCTTTGGTACCGAAATTGGTACCGAGAACCGTGGATTTTCACTGGTATTGGTACCGAATACTGAAATTTTGGTACCGTGACAACACTAGTCCCACTTACTGTACAGATGCAGCAATCAAATTCAGAAATGTACAGTACAAGCCCTGATGCCGTTCTGCACAATCACATTTTGTCATTCCATTAACAAACAGGTTCAGTGATCATCAGAAATGCCAAGTTTTCATTTTCTTGGAAGAGTCCTCTATCCATAATATTGCTTTCTCCAGTTAAAAAAAAAGTCATCTTGTCTGAATCAGGTGAGAGATATACACACTTGCACAGATCTGAGAGGACAACAGAAGATGGACTTTTACACTGAAGAAAGCGTTATTATGGGTTATGGACTCATATTTTAGCCGAAAGCAACGGTTTGAAGTTAAAAACGTCTTAATAATGGTGATTTGTTTCTTACAAACACGCAGCTTTTTAACTGATGGACTGGAGTTGTGTGGATTATTGTGATGTTTTTATCAGCTGTTTGGACTCTCATTCTGACGGCACCCATTCACTGCAGAGGATCCATTGGTGAGCAAGTGGTGTATTGCTAAATTTTTCCAAATCTGTTCCCATGATAAAACAAACTCATCTACATCTTGGATGGCCTGAGGGTGAGTAAATGGTTAGCAAATTTTAATTTTTGGGTGAACTTTTCATTTAAAAAAAAATATTTTCAGAGCCATGGTGGTATGCAACTATGTGTTACATAATGCACAATATCATCATTAAGCTTATGTCAGATGTGTTTATCAAAAGAAAGAGCCTTTTACAGTTGTCAAGCCAGTACATTTGCTTGTCATATTTCCGGCACCTTTGGTTGACACCTTGAGTTTTGACTAATTGCTTGTACTATTCCTCATTTGAAAGACAAAGCAAAAGTTCCTAAATGAGCAGCAACAGAGTAAGAACATTTCCCCAAAATAATATGCCTGCACTTCATTTTATGAATATCAGGTGAGACATGTTAAAACTGAGACATGTAATTGCACATCCTTCCTCTGATGCTGCTGTGAATCCATATGCTCTGATGGCAGCATGTGTTGACAGCATGTGTCAGGACATGCTGAAAACAAGCTAATCATGCACACTGTCTGCTGGACAGGCCCGCTCCTAATCCAATAACAAACATAGGTAAACCACAACAAGACTAAATTAAGAGGAATCTGAACTGACTGGTGAACATCTTAAAAACAAATAATGGTAAGATAGACCTTGGCTAGTGCAGGGATCACATCAATTACAGACTAATTTGTAACATTTGTAATTTGTTCATTTGACCCTCTAACTCTATCACTCTCTAGTATTCTAATTCCAAGAAAGAAAGAAAGAAAGAAAAAACACTTGAAGATCATTTGGTTGTCTGAATCGAGATCGCAATCTTTTAACGATTAATCGTGCAGCTCTATACTTGTCTTCTTTAAAAAGAGAGAGAGCGAGAGAGAGAGAGAGACTCTGACACTAGCATTCTCTATTCATTTTTAAAAAGCGTCTGCTAAATGACTAAATGTAAATGTAACAAGACAATTACAGATTCCCATAGAACTGATCCTATTCCATCTGTCAGGAACTTTCTGTCTGACACCAACACTTGAGTCAATGCATGAATCATAATGGCCCAGAAAAAAATTAAATGAAGACTTTATCTATGCTTTATCTATCATGGCACAACAAACCAACTGCATTATTCACACTTATTGGTAAACAAAACTTAATAACTGAGGGTAAATGCTGCAAAAAAATTAACATATCAAATATATGAACACAGACAGTATAATTTGTCTTCATTTACACTAAAATAGGTTGCAAGTTCCCCTTGGAATTACGTCATATAACCTTGTTATGCTAAAAAAAGGCTAGCCTGAAATAAATGTGCTCAGGTGGTTATTTGCGCATGCTCAGATTAGGTTGACCTGCGGAATAATCTGAGTATATTCTTCAGATTAACTGCGCCGCTTCTTAATCCGCCAATGACAACACGAGACACGTCAATGAACATTACGTCATATAACCTTGTTATGCTAAAAAAAAAAGGCTAGCCTGAAATAAGTGTTCAGGTGGTTATTTTGCGCATGCTCAGATTAGGTTGACCTGTTGAATAATCTGAGTATATTCTTCAGATTAACTGCGCCGCTTCTTAATCCGCCAATGACAACACGAGACACGTCAATGAATATGCAAATGAGGGAGAACAAGCCAGTTCAAATGAGTGATTAGAAATAATAACTGTAAATCACTTTATTAACGGTTATTGTTCTGTTCAATAGAAAACTAACGTTAGTCCCTAGTCACCTGTCCTATACAAGTAAGGGTGGCATTTACCAAGCATGTTACTTCCCTAAAAATAAAATATTTAGGATGGTTATAAAATGGGAGCAATTTAAAATTCAGAATGTACGTTAATTCTGAAAGTGAAGTGTATTTTATTTCTTAAAACAAAAACCTAGTAAATACCACCATGATACAGAGTATGTTTGTTATGGGTTCTTTAACTTTAGTAAGTCTTGTTTTTTTGTAGGTAACACATTTTAAATTTCAAAATGAGATAAAAAGTGTCAAATGAGCAGTAAATAAACAAGTTTTCTTACCTTTTCCTTCTGTCGGTTTGGTCTTCCAGCCTTTTCCAAACTCCTTGATGTCCCGTCAGAACTGTTAACGGTCGAAACGTCTTTATTTTTGAATAAAAGCTTCTGTTTGACATTCGCCATAGCTGTAAACCTTAAGAAGACACGTTTCGCATTATTTACTGTGTTATATCGCTGCCATTAAGCTGATATTTTGTGAGTTATTTTTTGTTTTTTTCAGCCTCACTGAAGGACAAAACGCTCCCGCGCCGGTGGCTACTGTACTGACACGCGCGGTGACGTCACGTATTTTAGACGCAAGGAATAGGCCCCGCCCATACATTGACGTTTGTCTGAAAGCCACGCCCAACGCAGAAGAGAAGCATCCCAAACCCAATGTGTGGCTGCACTTTGTTATAAAGTGAGGATTATTACGGAAGAATGAACGATCTGTAAGATGAATGTTTATTTCTACTATTTAATAAAGAGTTACACGTACAGTAAGGATATATTGGAGTCCATGTTTAGTGTCCTAAACCGGTTTATTCTGACAGGCCACTGCTGTTATGTTGGTCTCTGCAGTTTAGTCTAACCTAACCTGATTTATCTAATGTCCACACATCACACGGGACGAGGTAGGTCACATTAGTATGTTTGTTATGGGTTCTTTAACTTTAGTAAGTCTTGTTTTTTTGTAGGTAACACATTTTAAATTTCAAAATGAGATAAAAAGTGTCAAATGAGCAGTAAATAAACAAGTTTTCTTACCTTTTCCTTCTGTCGGTTTGGTCTTCCAGCCTTTTCCAAACTCCTTGATGTCCCGTCAGAACTGTTAACGGTCGAAACGTCTTTATTTTTGAATAAAAGCTTCTGTTTGACATTCGCCATAGCTGTAAACCTTAAGAAGACACGTTTCGCAGTATTTACTGTGTTATATCGCTGCCATTAAGCTGATATTTTGTGAGTTATTTTTTGTTTTTTCAGCCTCACTGAAGGACAAAACGCTCCCGGCGCGGTGGCTACTGTACTGACACGCGCGGTGACGTCACGTATTTTAGACGCAAGGAATAGGCCCCGCCCATACATTGACGTTTGTCTGAAAGCCACGCCCAACGCAGAAGAGAAGCATCCCAAACCCAATGTGTGGCTGCACTTTGTTATAAAGTGAGGATTATTACGGAAGAATGAACGATCTGTAAGATGAATGTTTATTTCTACTATTTAATAAAGAGTTACACGTACAGTAAGGATATATTGGAGTCCATGTTTAGTGTCCTAAACCGGTTTATTCTGACAGGCCACTGCTGTTATGTTGGTCTCTGCAGTTTAGTCTAACCTAACCTGATTTATCTAATGTCCACACATCACACGGGAAGAGGTTGGTCACATTTTCCTTATCCACCATAAACAGTTTCATTAAATGTGTTTCTTGATTGAATTGCTTTCATGTCTGTAATTGTGTGAACATAAAACTTTGAGATCAAAACCACCACTGCGCATCCTAATGGAAAATTTTAGGTGATTGATTTAATTTAGTCATTTTGAGATGTGTGTGTGTCTGTGTGTGTGTGTGTGTGTGTGTGTCTGTCTGTCTGTCTGCCTGCCTGCCTGTCTGTCTATCCATCTATCTATCTTTAAAAAAAACTATTTGAAACTTTGTGTAAAATAATAAGAAAAATGCATTTTAAACAAATATTTAATGTAGTCAATGTCATTTAATTAAATTTTATTCCAGCTAATATGTGATCATATAAACTGAATGCATAAGAATGATAAAAAATAAAAATGATGATTTATTAATATTACAAAGTATGTTAATGATATGTTAATTCATATTAAGTATTAAAACTGTATGAATATAATTGTAAACACATTTAAAAATGCATTCATGTAGTCCTTCAATTAATTATATTTTATTTATATTATTAAATATATTTTATATTTTAATATAAATATATTTTATATTTTAATATAAAAACCGCATGAATACAAATTGTAAAATAATTGCATATTATTGCAATTAATTAATATATCAACTAATAATGTCTTTCTATCTATCTTAATTTCAGTCAAGTGTGCACAAACTTTTGACTGCGACACTATGTGTGTGTGTTCTGCATCAACTACTGAAAGTGAGTAAGGCTATGTTTGTATTTTACTCATTTTCACCTTTGTCTCTTTTTACAGACAATGGCATCAGCAGAAGTCAAAGTTGCATTTGTCAGCAATCACGATGGGACGACCCTGACAGAGGTTTCGCTGGGATCCCTCTTAGCCCCGCTGTGTTTTCTCAGCCGAGGACTCTTCCTGATAGTATTCCACCTGGGAAAAGGGCTTCTTCCGTTCTCTTGGGGATCCCATCTCCTGCTGGACTTCACAGCACTAATAATGCCTCTGGTCCTGTCATGCACCGCACTGAGCGACATCCTTCACTTTGTCATCATGGGCATCGCTGTAGTTGATTTTGTTGTCCTATACCTTGTATACAAGAATGGAAAGCATCCATATCAAGGTTCCTTCCCAAATACAATTGACAGGTTTGTGCAAAGCAGAGTAGAATCCAACCTGGTCCCGTTTGTAACTGTGTTCCGGGTTCTGGTCAACGTGAAGACCTCCATAAGCATTTTAGCTGTTGATTTTAGCGTCTTCCCAAGACGTTATGCAAAAACAGAGATGTATGGAACAGGGGTGATGGATTTCGGCGTCGGAGCGTATGTAATGGCCAACGCATTGGTATGTCCCGAAGCAAGAGGAAAGGACATTCAAGGCTCGAAGATCAGTCATGTGTTTAAACAGTTGATTTCCGTCTGGCCGTTGGTCTTGTTAGGGTTTGTGAGACTTGCAAGCGTCAAATCATCAGGCTACCACGAACATGTGACAGAATATGGAGTTCACTGGAACTTCTTCTTCACGTTAGCCATCGTCAGAGTGGTGGCGTCCGCACTTCTGGCTCTTTTTCCTGTGAACTCCTCATGGCTTCTTGCTCTTCTCATTGGTGGAACCTACCAGGTTGTTTTAGAGACAACAGGTCTGAAGTCCTTCCTCATCCATAATAATGAGCGCACAGGCTTTCTGCAGGCAAACAGAGAGGGCATCTTCTCAGTTGTGGGTTATATAGTTATCTATATGGCTGGGGTTCAGGTTGGCCGCTACCTCATGCAGAGCAGAAATTTGGTTAAAGACTGGATCAGAGTGATCCGTAACCTTCTGTTAACAAGTTTTGGGTTGTTCTTCACTCTATACGTGTGCCAGAGACGCATCGAGCCAGTGTCACGCAGAATGGCCAACCTTTCCTTCTGTATTTGGACGTAGCACAGGCTTTATTCTTTCTCTCATGCCTCAGCATTGCCATACTAATAGTAGATGCAAATTACATCAGAGTTTTAGGTTAAGATTTTTGTATTTGTATATGCTGTAATTGGCCACCATTTCTGTGAACTTTTTCCATGAGTTAAATCATCTGTGCTTTTTGCAGTTCACTTAGATAGCCTGTGTGGTGAATAGATTAAAAATATTCCATGTAGTATTTTAATTAATTGATTATGAAAGCTGCATGCATTATAATTATAAAAGAATTTGGAAAATGCTGGTGCTTACTAACATTCCTTTGAAGTATAAACTTTTAAATAATTAAGTCTAATATTAATTAATTGAAATGAAAATGAATTCAAATATGAAAAATAATTGTAAACGAACAAGAAAATTGAACAAATATTTCATGTAGTCTTTTAATTAAACATTTCAACTATGCGGTCATAAACATTGCATGCATATTAATTCTAAGATTTAAAAAAAAAAAAGAATAATCAAACTTGTAATTAAGTCATAAAACTATATAAAAATAATTGGGAAAGAATGAGAAAACTGCATTTTAAATAAATATTTAATGTAGTCTTTTAATTAAATAATATTTCAACCAATATGCAATTATGAGCAACTGCGTGCATATGCTAATTATAAAATTTTCAAAATGCTGATTTTTACTAATAATACAAAGACTTTAATATTAAGTCTCAAAACTATATGAAAAATAATTGTAAAAGTATTAGAGAAATGGTCATGTGGTCTTATAATTAAATAATGTTTTGACTAATAAGCAATCATGAAAACTGCATGCATACTAATTATAAAGAATCAAAGAATGCTGGTTTTTACTAATATTCCAGTCTCTTAATTAGACTTTTAATTAATATTAAGTAATACAACTATACGAACAATAATTATAAAAGATTAGAAAATGCATTTTAAACAAACATTTCATGTAGTCTAATATGCGATCATAAAAACTGCTTTTTCCTAACAATACAAAGTAGTTTAATTATTGGGCGTTAAGGCACTCTTCATTTTTAATTGTTTTATGGATTGAAATTAAATTCTAAAATCATTTTTAAATGCCTCAAAACGAGGAGAAACTTAAACAAACCTACATTTATGTATATAAAACTTGGCCACAATCACCATATCATTGCACAGAAATTCAATCTCTTTGTTTTGCATAAAGACACCAAATTTTTACAATGTGATAGTCAAAGGCAGGCATTACAATTTTGGTCTTCAACCACTCAAACAATCTGTCCCAAAAGGATTTAACAATAGTACAACTGTAAAAAAAGATGTTCCTGAGATTCAGTATCTTTCAGGCAGAACATACATACATTACTATCCAAATTAAATCAAAGCAATTCATTACATGGATAAATTGTTTTGTATTTCTTTCATGTGTCAATCAAAAGGCACACGCCTCGCCCTCAGAGCCCGGAAGTCAAAACGAGGAGAAACTTAAACAAACCTACATTTATGTATATAAAACTTGGCCACAATCACCATATCATTGCACAGAAATTCAATCTCTTTGTTTTGCATAAAGACACCAAATTTTTACAATGTGATAGTCAAAGGCAGGCATTACAATTTTGGTCTTCAACCACTCAAACAATCTGTCACAAAAGTATTTAACAATAGTACAACTGTAAAAAAAGATGTTCCTGAGATTCAGTATCTTTCAGGCAGAACATACATACATTACTATCCAAATTAAATCAAAGCAATTCATTACATGGATCAATTGTTTTGTATTTCTTTCATGTGTCAATCAAAAGGCACACGCCACGCCCTCAGAGCCCGGAAGTACTTTCTGACGTATTAAGGCTCATAGAACACTCGCCTGCCACATACGCCTCTGTCGCACTTGTTTGTTTTTGTCCAAAAAAAAGAAACAACTTTCGAAAACAGGTGAGTACGACAGCTGCAGCTTGATATTTGTGCATTTAGTCGCTCTTTTAAGTGCAATAATGGCTGAAAAGTAACGCCACGGCGAGGATAAACCCGGAATGGGTCAGTCCGTCAGTCAAAGTAGGTCTTTGACAGCACACTTTTGAATGTAAAAAGCTTGTATTGTTTTAAAAGTACATTTGCACCCTGTTTAGCATCCAATAAAACATGCTTTGTTAGGTTTAAAGTTGCCGTGCAGCTCCCTCGGGCAAGCTACAGACAGAGCTAGCATGCTAATCAGCTTGAAAAAAGTTTCGCTGGTTAGCTGTGTGCTAACTTGACTTCGACACACAAAACTGTCTCTCTTTTTTGTAACATCATCTCAGATTCCATCCCTGCAGCATTAAGTATGTCAAAATGACTCGTTTAAGTTGCTCTACAGGTGGGTGTGAGCGTTTCGCTGGCTAACAGGCTAATTAGCATATGTGTCATTGGAGGGAGCATGAGTGCAGTTATTACAGCTCTGCTTATTTAACTGTTGTCATGACTACTAGACTGTCAAGCGTATCTAATATGATCTGAAACGTGATATAGATATTCTAGAGCTTCGAGAGGCTTGTTGTTTTGTTTGCTGCTCATTGTTAGCACGTAATGTGGCTTGACCTCTTCATTCTCACACCTCTGATAAAGGAGTTACTGCATTTATTTGACACTTCTGTAAGTATATATGCAGATATGATGCATGTACATGAAAGTTTCATTCAGATTGGGGTGTAGAGCTGGGGATAGTAAGTGTTTAAGCCTCTGTAGTCAGATAAGAGTGTATGTATAAGCTAATAATCCTTAGCAAAGCTACAAGGGCTGCTGGGAAACCAGTGTTTGCGTTTTAGAAATGGACAAATATTGATTAATCTGGGTGAGAAAAGCAGGCATGAGAAAGTATAAAATAGTATGTTAATTTTATTAAAATTATTTTATTATTATTTTAATTAAATAAATAATATATAACTAGTTGCAGTAATACGATTGTACTGTAAAAAAAATAAGTATTAATAATAATAAGTATTATTTCATTTTATTATATAAATTATAAAATTAAATATTACTGTTGCAAATAATACTTTTGTACTGTAAAACACAAGCTTTTAATAATTATAATAATTTAATATTATTTGAATATCAAATATTAAACAAAGAAATCTATTACTATTGCAGTAATAACATTGTGCTGTAAAAAAGTATTCAATAATAAGGGATAATGTACATCCAGCCAGTTGTTATCGCAGAATAGCATACCTCGGAATGTTGCGACTGACCAATCAGAATCAAGTATTCCACAGAGCCATGTAATAATAATAAATATCATCTTAATTTGATATTTAAATTATAATTATTAATAATATAATAATTAAATAAAGAAATATTACTGTTGCAGTAATACTACTGTACTGTAAAAAGCAAGTATTTAATAATAATAATAATAAATATTATTTATTATATTATTATTAATATTATTATTAAATTATAGAAATTAATCAAACAAATTACTTTTTATTTATTATTGTTATTATTTTAAATAACAAAAGTAAAATTACAATACTAATATTTATGTATGCTCTGTGCTTTCAAATGTTCAAAAACTAAAATTCACGTGGGTCGTACTTTTCACTTCAGAAAATATGGAAGTCCATATAAATATGGAAAAATGACATTCCTGGAAAATGAAAAGTGGCCTGTATTGGAACTCATAGTGGAGGTGATATTGTGAATGCAGAGCTAACTGAGATTGTGTCCACACACTAACAGGCAGATCTGGGCAAAGACATGGCGCGTCTGGTGGCTGTCTGCAGGGACGGGGAAGAGGATTATCTGTTTCTTGCACGCCAGATTCCCTTGTACATTGATGACTCTCTCACGGTAAGATCATTTTTTGGTTTCACGTTGCATTTCACCATCTTTAAAGGCACAATATGTAATTTTCGCCGCTGGAGGGCGCGTATTCAAAATAAACAAAGAGTCTAAGGTGTAGTTTGATGACGCCGTGACTGAGTGTGGAATCATGGGAGTTGTGGTCTTCATCCCCACAGCCGATGCAATCCGACGGGACTCGGGCAGAAATCATGTTCATGGATGAGCTAATGGTTTATTAACGTAGTAGAATGAAGCAGGGTGAGGCTGAAAGCCGTCGAAGCGAAACGAGGCCGCTGAACGAGCACGACACACGGCTGGAAAGCAGCGGAGCTTTTATTATGCCACAGTCGACCGCTTCCGCTGCTTCCGGTCGTGCGTATGTGGGGTAAAGCAGCGCTGTTTTATCATACTAGATACATTTGAAAGTTCTGTTATAATGCTACTATGTGCGGTCGTCACCGGTCTATTAAAACACACAACATATTAAAGCGTCTTTGGTGTTTCCATGTTTTCTACAAAACAAAACCGGAAATCGAGGGGTTATGACGCCATTGGCAGGCGACACAATGACACTATGGACACTAGTGCGGTGTTCGATACATCGATACGATGATGTATCGTCACAGAGATTTGACGATACGAGTATCGATACAGCTGGCCCTGTATTGATATTGTGGCATGTGTGCAGCAGTGGACCATGCTTACTTTGAATACAAGAACAACGTTTAAAATTGAGCAGAAAAGTGCGAGGTTTCTAAAAAATAATTAATAGAGAATAATATATAGGCTATAACTAGGTTTAATCTGGCCGCAGAGGAACACAATTGGGTTGCCTGATATAAAGAGACGTAATCCCCGACACAGAGCTTCCCACTTGCGCAATACGGAAATATCTGCTAAGTGTGCTACTTATCTTTGTCAACCTGGCAACCAGGTGCACGCGCGCTCTCTCTCCACTGTGGATAAACGCGCTTGCTTTCTGAAAACACTGGTAAGCTTGCAGTTTAGCGATCTCCACTTCAATATTCTATTCTCAGAAAAGAGTAATTCATCAAGAGTTAAGCATCAGTTTTTCATCTTCCATCAAAATTCTGTCTATTCATTGTATGCATTTGAAATATAGAGTTGGGTTTTGTTTTATTGTACCCAAGTGTACCTAAAATAAAAAGTGTTTAATATACAGGTTTGTGGCTCTTAATTTCCTAT